AGGGAAGGCGGCCCCAGCCGCACGTGGCTTACCCACCGGGCCCACGCACACCAGCCTGCCGCACAAGCCGCACCTCGAGCCGAGGACCAGGAACCTGTCCTTGCTGGGGGCGAAGGGGCCCCTCATGACGTAGCTCTCCTCCAGGAGGCTGCGGGACAGGAAGTGGTGCCGCTGGGCAGCATGGCCCAGACCTCTGCTGGCGGAAGGTGGCCAGCTGCACGGACCTCCCCGGGGCCCGCTCACCGTGCGCGCTCACCGCGGGGAGGGGTGGCCCCCAGTGCCACCAAGCAGTAGCAGAGAGGCAAGCAGTGGCGCCCGGCCGGGATGGAATGACACCTGCTCCGGGCTCCAGGCTCCGTGCCGACCGCGGGGAAAGAACCACTCCGCCTCGGCCCAAAGAAGGGCTGCTGCAACTCAGCCCCCAGACCCCAGCCTGACTCAGCAGGGCGGAGGGTGGGCACAAGGCCTCCATGCGAGCTCTCCGAGCTCTGCCCTCACCTCCGGGATGACACCCGCTCCCAAACTGCCTGCTTCCACACAGGGAGAACAGGGCACTTTACACTGGCTAAGGTTCTGGCCTCACAGCGCACACCAGAAAGGAGACCGACAGGATAGGATCCAAGGCAACACCCCAGGTTCCTCAGGGACGGAGGAAAGCAGCCTGGCCCCTGCCGCTTGGCCCACATAATGTACTGGCCAGATCCCCACAAGGTGGCCTCTGATGGAGGACAAGTTGAAGGTCAAAAATCAAGCCCCGGGACCCACTGGCTCTACTCTGGGCCATCCGTGGACAGGTGCACAGGAAGCTGGTCCTCAGGGCTCACTCCCACCAGTACAAGAGCCGCAAGGCGGGCAGCTTCCCGCTGAGAAGGTGCCGTCGTAGGAACCAGCGGGACCAGTGACAAGGCCCAGCCCCAGATGCGGTGGCCTCTGCGGGTCCCTGTGCTCCCAGCTGCTGAGCTGTTTCAGCCTGAGCCACGGTGCTTCCACCCCGCAGCCGGAGCAGGTGCTGGACTCTGGGCTGAGCAGGGACATAGGGACTGGGAGGTTCTAGGAGAGCCGGATGGCGTCGAACCTTGCCCTGTGCCTTCTTGGGCCACACCTGAAGTGCCCAGAGCCTGGGCCGGGTGGCCCCAGACACAACACCCAAGCCCTGTGTCAGACTTAGGCCAGCCAGCTCTGGGCGGGCTCCCTGGGGTGCTGGGACCCTGGTACTCACACGACAGACTGGGTGCCGGGGGGCTGCTGCCCCACGTAGCTATACGGAGCAGTTAAGGCACAGAGCTGGCACTCAAACACACCCAAGGGGCGGCGCTCCGCCTCACACTCCATCTGCAAGGTCAAAAGACAGGGCATGTCACCTACAGGACCAAGAGCTACCCACATCTCAAAGCTCCCCACTGCCTGCTTCTTACCCACAGGTGAGAAGGGCACCGTACAGACAAGGCACCTCAAGTTCAGAGTAAGTGACGAGACCTGCTCAAGGTCACACGTTCTTTTCAAGTGCACTTGAGCTATTCACCAAGACAGACTATATTCTGGGCCATAAAATGAGCCTCAAACTTTAAAAGCCTGAAATCATAGAGTACATTCTCCAACCCCATAATAATTAAATTAAAATCAGTAACAAAGAGATACATGGAAAATCTCCAAATATTTGGAAATTAAATGATATAAACCATTAAATGAATTATAAACCATAATTCAAAGAAGAAATCAGAAGAGAAATTAGAAAATATTTTGAACTAAATGAAAACTAAAATACAAAATATCAAAATACATAGAATGCAGCTTAAGCAGTGTTTACAGGGACATTCACGGTTTTAAATGCTTAAATTGGAAAAGAGGGTTTAAAGTAAATCATCTAACTTTCTACCTTAAGAAGCTAGAAAAATGCAAATTAAACTCAACATAAACAGAAAGAAGAAAATAATAAATAACACAAATCAAAGAAACAGAAAATGGACAAACAATAGGAAAAAAAATCGATAAAACCAAAGCTGGTCATTTCAAAATGTCAATAAAGTTGACAACCTCTAATTAGACTGATCAAAAAAAACAGGAATGGGCTTCCCTGGTGGCGCAGTGGTTGAGAGTCCGCCTGCCAATGCAGGGGACATGGGTTCGTGCCCCGGTCCGGGAAGATCCCACCTGCTGCAGAGCAGCTTGGCCCGTGAGCCATGGCCGCTGAGCCTGTGCGTCCGGAGCCTGTGCTCCACAATGGGAGAGGCCGCAACAGTGAGAGGCCCACGTACCGCCAAAAAAAAAAAAAAAGAAAAGAAAAACAGGAAGAAGATACAAATTACCACAATAAGGAATGAAACAGGGGACATCACTAAGACTACAGACATTAAAAGGATAATAAAGGAATGCAGTGACCTTTTTTACCAAATCTGACAGTTTAGATGAAATGGACGTATTTCTTGAAAAAACACCATTTATCAGAACTGACTCAAAATAGAAAACCTGAATAGCCCTTTATCTATTAAGAAAACTGAATTCATAATTTAAAATTTTCCTTTAAAATGAAATAGTACAAAAACAAACAAAAAGAACAACAAAAAAAAGAAACAGAACACCAGCAAAGCTTCATGCCCAGATGTCTTTACCAGCAAACTGTCAAGCATTTGAGGAAGAGGTAATACCAACCTACAGAAACTGTTTCAGAATACAGAGAAAGGAACACTTCCCAAGTGATTTTGAGGCCTATATTACATGGACACCAAAACTGCCAGTATTACCCTGATACCATTCATCAGACAAGGCTACTACAGGAAAACTACAGAGTAATATCCTTCACAAGCAAATATCTTCAGCAAAATATTAGCAAATTGAATTCAATAATACATAAGAAGCCTAGGGCGTCACGACAGAGTGGATTCAACCCAGGAAGGCAATGTTGGCTCAACATTCGAAAACCAGTGAATGCCAACTCATGAGAGCAACTGAATAAAGGAAGAAAAACCACACCATCATTTCAATAGATGCATAAAAAAGCATGACAAAATTCAAGGCTCTGGGTGGTGCTTCAGAGCCAAGGGGCTCCCCACCTGACTACAGAATAAATTCCCTTCCTTGGCATTTAAGCCCTCTTTAACCTGGGACTTATCTCCCAATGACTCTGCTGTCCAGCGCCCACCCCTCCATACAGCAGGCTGCAGTTCAAGTGGCTCCATCACTGTCCTTCAGGTGTTCCCTGCACTTCCTCACCCCCTCCCCTGCCCCGGCCTTCGCTCCTGCTGTTCCTGCCATCTGGTGGGTTTCCCCCAACGTCTCTACCTATGGAATTGCCCTCTGGCTGCCCTGAAGATTTTCTGTTCACCTTTGGCTTTCGACAGCTTGACTACACAACTACTTTTTTTTTTTCCTTTTAAACCTATTTATCCTGCTTGTGCTGCTTTAAGCATTTTGATCTGTGGTTTAGTATCTTTCATTACTTTTGGAAAATCCTTAACCATTACCGCTTCAAATATTTCTTCTGCCCCATTATTTCTTGTCTCCCGCTGAGGTTCCAAACGCAAATACGTTAAACTTTGATGTTGTCCCACGGTTCTTGGACCCTTTGCTCTGGGTTTGTTTTTTTCTACTCTTCTCTCTGTGTTTCAGTTTGGGTCATTTCTACTGCCCTGTCATCAAGTTCATTGATTTTCCCTTGGTTATGTCGAATCAGCCGACGTGCACTCGGAAGGCTCCGGGCGCCGTGCAGTCCGGGCGGGACCGGGGATGAGCCAGGGCGCAGGCTCCGCGGCCCGCCCCCAGCGCCGAGGGAGGCCGCACGGGCCTCCGACGCTCGGAACCCCGCAGGGCTCCGCGGAGGCGCCCAGGCCGAGCTGGACGCACGAGACGCGCCAGGAGGGACCCGGGCGCGGCCGCACACGTCCCCGTCAAGCCACCAGGCCGCGCCACTCACCACGACCAACGCCGCCGCCGCCGCCGCCGCCGCCGCCGCCGCGCCGCCGCCGCCGCCGCCGCCGCCGCCGCCGCCGCCGCGGCCGCCGCCGCCGCCGAGCCCACGGCGCGTGCGCGGTGAGGCGCGGGGCGGGGCCTCGTGGCGGACTTCCGCCTTGCCCTGCGCCTAGCTGCGGCTTCCCCTACCTGATCTCTCGGGATTGGCAGCGGCTGGGCAGCACTTGGCTGGCTCACGCCCACGTGGCCTGACGTGCTGGCTGCTCCAAGGCTCTCAGCTTCTTTCTGGGTTTCCCACCGGGCTCCACAGAGTCGGTGCCGCCGGTGCGCGGCCCACAGATAACCCGGCCCCAGCCGCATTTCCATCCCCACGTGGTTTCTCTCACTGCGCGCTTCGGACCGAAATGCCCTGCTCTTAGTTCTGATGCTACCCGTCCCCCAACTAGGACGGAAGCCTCCGGGGCCTGGGGCCAGGGCCGCAGGCAGTGGTTACTATGTGCCCTAAGGCAACAGGCAGAATGGGTTCAAAATGAGCCCTGTGGCTTCCTGCGACCTTTAAAAGCTGTGTGCAGCCGGCACTTGTCACTGTACTCCTCCAAAGCCTTAAAGTGGCCTAAGTGGCCTGCAATGCCCGTCATCATCTGGGACCACCATCCTTCAACTTCCAGGTCTTCACCTTGGGGCACCAACCACGTCATCTACCAAAAGTTGCACTGGACCCCAAGCTCCCCGTCCCGAAGCTCAGACAAGGGCTTCCCTAGACCTGCAGTGGCCGTCCCACTGCACTCCTGGCCCCTCGTGTGTATTCGAGGTACCATTCTACGGGGCTAGGGGATGATTCTGAAGCCAGCAGCCCTGAGGTCTGGGACTTATTCCTTTGGGGAATCGAGAAATAAGGATTATATAAGGTGTCTTAGTAATGCTGGCAACAGTAACTATTTCTGGACTTGAGCCAGAGCGGCTCCTGTCCTACTCCTCAAGAACTAGCGAGCCCTTATATTTTGCTACTAGAGCATGTGACCTCAACTGTGCTTACAGCAACGGCACTCTTTGGATCAATTCAAAGATTACATACTGTTGGTTTTTATTTTTGGATCTGCCCAAAGATGGGCCACTTGATAAAGCATTTAAAATTTGACCTAAATCCACTCTGAGATACATGACTGGTTATCCCACGAATGCTGTCAAAGCCATTAGACAGTTTAGACAAGTTACGAGCTGCACTGGAAGAGTTAAAAAGTGAAATAAGATTCAAAGAGCAAATCATGGACTTTGTCAGAAAATAAAGTTAATTTTGATTTGAGCTGTCCACAGTTATTAATATAAGAAAAAGCTTACCAAAAAATCCAAAAGGATTAAAAATATCTAATAAAGCTTTAGAAAAAAATGGTTTCCCAAAAGAAACTGCATGTGAAATAAGCACTAAATCAAGAGAATGAAAAGACAAGCCACAGAATGAGAGAAAGTATTTGCCAAAGGTATATATGACAAAGGACTCTTATCCAAAATATACAAAGAACTATTAAAACTCAACAGTAATAATACAAACAACCCAGTTAAAGAATGGGCCAAAGACCTTAACAGACACCTCACCAAAGAAGATACACAGATGACAAATAAGCATATGAAAAGATGTTCCACATCCTATGTCATCAGGGAAATGCAAGTTAAAACAGCAACGAGGGGCTTCCCTGGTGGCGCAGTGGTTGGGAGTCCGCCTGCCGATGCAGGGGACACGGGTTCGTGCCCCGGTCCGGGAGGATCCCACGTGCCGCGGAGCGGCTGGGCCCGTGGGCCATGGCCGCTGAGCCTGTGCGTCCGGAGCCTGTGCTCCGCAACGGGAGAGGCCACAACAGTGAGAGACCCGCGTACCGCAAAAAAAACAACAACAACAACAAAGAAAAAACAAAACTGGATGGATCTAGATGTGTTATAAGAAATGATGATAGTGAATTAATGATGAGATTTATATGATGAAACGAAAGGAAAATATAATGATGTTTAATATAATGATCTTTTTATATGCACTCTCCTTACTGTGTTTAAACATGATATCAATACTCATGGTTCAATTCTAAATCTAAAACTTTCAGAAATTTATTGGCAATTCCAGTTGCTGCTCCCTCAGCAGAGTGAAGTTTCTCCCAGCTGAAATCATTAAAAACTATCTGCAAACTACTAAGACTCAGGAAAGTTTGTCTAACTTGGCACTATTGTCAATACAACACAGTTATGTGAAAAGCTTTGTTATTATCAACACAATTTTTCTGAAATGAATTCAAGAAAAATAAACTTTATGGAATATACGCACAATAATTTATGGATTATGTATGTATTTTTACTCATCCAAAGATCAGTGGCCCACCAACAGAACACCCAGAGGTACACAACAGTAATTCAGTTATCTTTGATATTTTGCCCATTTT